GGGACCCATAAACGGAAACCGTGATACACAAGAAGTACAAACAGTGGCTAACGACCCTGCTGGTACCGGACCGAAGGCGGATGGTACGGTACACGCACGACTAAAATTCCTCTTCATTTCTCCAGGCCAGACTTCCCTGTTTCCTGGCCTCTGTGCTTCCTCCCCCGGCTCCCACCCTCCCTGCCCCCCACCTCTCTCCTGGTGTCCCACAGCCCTGGTGGTACTTTTACAGTGGTGCTTTTCTGCATCAAACTTCCATGAGGGTGTCATTGGAGTCATGTGTGTTCTCACTCAGGTATGAGCTTCTCGATGTCTCTGCCATGCGTCCTTATTTTTGTTCCCACTTATCTCGATGTCTTACACATAGTAGGTGCTTGAAATGTTTTATTTTTGAAAACATTCAACTGGCATTTTCTTTAGGGATTCAGGCTTTAAGCCAGCATCTTAGGGTTTGAATCCTGACTCTCTCATTTCCTAGCTGTGTGTCTTTGAGAAAGTGAATCGGCCTCTCTGAGTCTGTTACTTCATCTGGAAAATAAAGTCAATAAAAAAACCTCCCCCCAAGAGTAGCAGGGGGATGACAGTGTATGTACAACACCCAGCACTGGCCTGAAGCAGAGAGCCGCTGACATGTTCTACTCACTCACATTATTCAGAATTATTCAGTCTCGTTCAGACTTGTCCAAGGTCACCCGCTCAGTTTAGGGCAGTGCTGGGACTTGACCCCCATCTTCTCCCACTCCAGAGCTCCTTACTTCCCTCCGATGAGTGAGGGTCACAGGTCACTGTCTGTTTTGTAGATCAAGAGAACAAGGTCCAGAGAAGCTGGGTTACTTAGTCTAGGTCACACAGCCCTGTGAGCAAAGCAAGGGTCAGCTTGTCTGCCAGGTCCCTGGTGGGTTCTCTAGGCCACTCCCCCACAGCCCCAGTGAGACCCACCATCCTGATCAGAGCCTCTGGTCCTCCTGGTGACCAAGGAATCTGCAATGTGGGCCTCTCAGAGGCCTGGTGGCCCCCGTGATTGGGACAGTCACTAAAGAGCCCTCACTTATGGCGTACTCGGAACTGTGCTAAGTGCTCATAGCAACCCTGGTATGCCATCTTCCAGGGGCGC